TTTTTTTTTTTTTAAGAAGAAATGACTGTGGCACAAAGAGAGGCAGGTCAAAGACCATACAATTAGAAACAGAATCAGAACTGGATATTAGGTCTTTTGATGCTTCAGATTTTTTCCTGTGTAATTTCTTGCCTTTAAATGCCATCATGGTATTGTTCAGTAGGTTAGATATGAACTGACATATAGAGGATGCCAAAAACATGTATACACATTTTAAGAAAGGAAAAAAACCATATTAGAATTGTAGTAATATATACTGTTAATGTTTGTGATCTTGTATATTGTCTCTTGTATCTCTTGTAATTGCAGAAGTCAGACATGACTTGAAAATTACAATTCTATTTCAAATTGTATATGAAAACACCACACTGTACCCCATGATTGCATTAATGTACACAGCTATCATTTAATTAAAAAAAAGAAGAAAAGAAAATTACAATTCTAATGCATTTTTTTCCTTTCTTAAAATGTGTATACATTTTATGGCACCCTCTGTATCTACTAATGTCATCTGAGCTTTACAAAATGATTTTTAAAAGCTAGTCAGTTCCTGGCATTGTTAATAGATATTTAAAGCCTCAGAACTATGTAATAGTCTTTCATATGAGTTTTGGAGATTGAAAAAAACTTGCTTATGTCAGAATTTCTTTCTTCCTTTTTTTTTTTTAAGAGACAGAGTCTCACTTTGTCGACCTTGGTAGAGTGCTGTGGCGTCACAGCTCACAGCAACCTCCAGCGCTGGGGCTAGGGCGATTCTCTTGCCTCAGCCTCTATAACGCCCAGCTATTTTTTGTTGCAGTTTGGCTGGGGCCGGGTTTGAACCTGCCACCCTCAGTATATGGGGCTGGCGCCCTACTCACTGACCCATAGGCGCCAGCCCCATGTCAGAATTTCAAGTAAAGTCACAACTCAATATATGGAAGGCTTACATTGGTTTGGCTGAAAAGGCAAGGCATCCTGAAATGGGTCATTACAGGTTATAGATAGGTTTGAAGATTCTTTGATTTATGATTGGACAAAGAAATTAAGCTTTTTGTCTAAAGGCTTGGGATGTTTTAAGATAAGAACTGTTAATCAGCTGGGCATAGTGGCTCACACCTGTAATCCTAACACTCTGGGAGGCTGAGGCAGGTGGATTGCCTGAGCTTACAGGTGCAAGACCAGCCTGAGCCAGAGGAAGACCCCATCTCTAAATATAGCCGGGCATTGTGGTGGGCTTTTGTAGTCCCAGCTACTTGGGAGGCTGAGGCAACAGAATGGCTCAAGTGTTTGAGGTTACTATGCCACAGTACTCTACTGAGGGTAACAAAGTGAGACTCTTGTCTCAAAAA